GTAAAACCAAACCCCCGTGGGGTTGAGCTATGGGGGGGGGGGGGGTGTTCTTGCAGCCTGCCCTTTCCCAGGATTTCAAAGAATTGCTGTCTTCTGTGTAATCACTTTGGAGAAGTGAATTCCAGCGTGCCTGGGTTTGCTTTAAGCAAGGAAGCGCTGTGCTCACACCCCAGGTTTTGGGGTTTTTTTGTGCCAGTCCCGAGGGTAGAGGCACACGCTGCTGCTGGGGAGTAAGCCCTGGTGCGGGAGGGAGGTTACGGGGAAAAGCACTCGGCGGTGTGGGGATCCTGCCCTCCACCCACCCATCTACAAAGTAAAAAAAAAAAAAAAATAAAAGCCCAGCTGCAAATGATGCAGCATGAGGCTTAGCTGGGGAGAGCTGTCTCTGCTTAATGAAATTGGGCTTGCTCCGTTGGATTGGTTTTAGTCTGCGTCCCTTTCTCGAGAGGTTAATTGGAACGACTTCATTTCAGATCAATATGTCTCGAATTGTTATGTTAAATCTGATGCTTGCACTTCTATTAATCAGGTGGATATTCTGAGCTTTCCTTTGGCAGCCGTATAACTTGACATATGAATAATAAATGCACCTTTCCTTTGTGAAACATAGAGCACGATGCCTGCGTGGGCTGGGTTTGGGCACTTGGATAGGAGCTGGGTTGCTCAAAGCAGGAATATTCACCGCTCTGGTGAAATCCCTGGTGCTATAGAAACGTGGAAGGATTGTGATAGACTCTCACGGGTTTGAGTGGGGCGGATGATGCTCCCTGCTGAAGTCTGATTTTTTTTCCAAAGTCATTTAGACTCTTTGTGTCATTTATTAAATAACAAGAAGTTTTGCACAATGGAAACTCAAAAGGCTTGCTCACAGGGGGAGAAAGAGCAAATTGGCTTTATTACAAAGACTGAAAACTCTGTTTGGTACGCAGCCGGTGTTGCTTGTGGAGTTTGAACTCGCCTCTCATGAAACACAGTGTTATAATTAAAATTTTAATTGTTTAAAGCATAATACTGGGCTCGTTAATGCACCTTTTAAAAATGGAAATGTCTTTCGTTTATAGCAGACCTTAACCTGTAATTACAGCTCTTGAACCAGAAGGATGAGCGCCTGCTTTTAAACACACCGAGCTATTCTTGGTGCACCTCTGGGCTGTTTTGGTTGTGAGCAGCTTCAACCACCCACCCGTTTGTGGGGTGCACGAGATGCTCTCCCTCTATCGCGGGGCAGTAACCCGGCTCTTTCTCTTCCAGCTTGCGCGCTCACCGTGACGCTGCCCATGAGCCTCTATAACTTCTACAAGTAAGTTTGTCCTCGGGTCCCCCTCCCTGCACTGCCACCTCTGCCAAAGCCCCTGAAGAACTCTCAGAACTTGGTTTCCTTTGCCGTTTTCAGTGCGGCCAAGTGGCTCTGACACCCCCGCAGGTCCCAGTTTGCAGGGTGCGCTGGGAGGAGTGGGCTGGCTGCTGGCTCAGCAGGGTTTTGGCGGAGGGTCCCCAGCTTTTGGAGGCTTGTCCAGGTGGTCGCAACCCAGACAGCCAGGTGCTTCTGTAATTTGGGGGTTTTGGGGGGGTTGGCTTAGCAGTGAAGGTGTGAGTCTTCCTCCTCTGACTGTGGTTCTGACCGGTACCTGCAGTTTTGAGCAGCAAAAGGGCTGGTGAGATTTTGCAGTCCCCTCCTGAAGGCAGGGAGCGGCTATTCCTTAGCTGTGGTTCCACGGATTTTCATTTCTTTGCATTTCAGGGCTTATAAAAATAACACCTTGAAGCACCACTCTGTGTATGAAATCATGCTGCCGCTGGTGTCCCCGGTGCTGCTCTTCCTGCTCTGCACCACGTGGATCTTCGTGTCCCCGACAGACATCCTGGAGGTCCATCCCAGGCTCTTCTATTTCATGGTTGGAACAGCCTTCGCTAACATTTCTGTAAGCACCTTTTGCTTTACGCTCCGGTTTGTCTCCCGGGGCGTGTGAAGCCTGCCAGGACACACGGGAGGCAGGAAGGAAAAGCCCAGCTCAACCGTGAGCAGAGAAGGGAGGCGTGAAGATTGACAGCTTTTCTGTTTTGCTACGAAAGTAGACAGGGGTTGGGGTCTGCAGATTTTCTGCTGCAGCTCTTGCTCTTGAGAAACTAGAGAATTAGTTCAGCGCAGTGTGTTTGCACACGCGTGTGTCCTCTGTGTCGTGAATAGCAAACTGCTGATATGAAAGCAGTTCCTTTTTTGGGATAAACTGAAAATGTGAGAGACTGAAGCTTTCATCAAAATCCGATTTAGCTGCATGTTGCATCTGTGCTTGCTTGCGACCTTAGCAAAGGCACTCGTGCTCGTCACCTGGGCCGAGCAGCTCGGGGTGTCCCTGGGTCCAGCGGGTCACACTGCTGCTCGCTGGGATTTTCTGCTGATGGTGCAGCTAACGCTGGTAAGGCTGGCTCAGCTCGAGGGAACTCCTTTTTCTTTTAAAGATTCCCGTTTCCCTCTTATCTCCTGCCCCTCACCCTCCAGGAACTCTAACGCAAAGAAAGATCCCGAGTGAGAAACTCGGGGAAACTGCCCGAGGGTGGTTGTAAGCGTGGACGATTGGTACGTGCGTGACCGTCCTCCCTGCACCGGGCACAAGCGGTGACACCTTTCTCTTCCCGCAGTGCCAGCTGATCGTCTGTCAGATGAGCAGCACGCGCTGCCAGCCTCTGAACTGGATGCTGCTCCCCATCGCGGCCGTGCTCTTCGTGGTGATGTCCGGCACCGTGCCCAACAGCGAAGCGCTTCTCCTCTACCTGCTAACCGCTTTCCTCACCCTGGCGCACATCCACTACGGGGTGGTCGTGGTAGGTGACCTCGGCGCGGGGGTTTGGGGCTCTGGCTTCGCTGGGGTGCTGTTGGGGGCAGAGGGAAAACCGCTGAAAAACGGGAATGTCGGTGGGAACGGCTCTGTGCTGTCTGTGACCGCATGGAACCCGAGCTGACATCCCTGCGAGAGGCTTGTGCGGCTGTCGCCTGGGTTTGAGGCAAGCTTTACACCACGTGAGGGGGGGCTGTGAGACCGGAGAGGAGTTTGAAGCACCTCTGCGGCCGTGTTTAACTCCTCCTGGCTGTGGTTGCGGCTTAGTGACAAGCCTGGCTGTGAGCCAGCATGGGTGACCCGCACCGAGGGGCGGCTCTGGTCCGTACCCAGAGCAGCAGATGCTGTGTCTGCCCCTGGGGCAGGCTGGCTGCTTCGTTCAGGAGGCTGAGTGCGAAAGGTTCAGCTGCTGGTGGTGTCACGTTGGTTGATGAGTTCAATCCTTGACCTCACTGACGTGCCCTGTGCTGGAGTCACTGGGAGAGCCAGGGCGGGCTGGGATGTCCCTGCCAGGGAACATGGGGACACTGCCATGCCTTCGCCCCTGCTGCAAGGGCTCTGCAGAGCTCCAGGGACGGATTTACTCCCCTCGCTCTGTGCACTGTGTTTGGATTAAGAGAGAAAACAAACTCGGAGGAGACAGAGTGCCGTTAGAAATGCCCCAGGAAGCTGCTGAGGAACAAGGACAAGGGACCCAATGTCCCTTACGGAGCTGGCTGCTGCCATGTCGTGCCACCCTCCTTGGGAAGCCCTGTCCCCTGGGAACCCCAGCTCTGATTTGGAGCCGCCAGAGTCGAGTCTGAACTGTAATTACAGCAAAGAACTAATGGCCAGGTTGTCTCGTCTTTCCGATTAGTGTAGTGAGGCTTCTGTGCGAGAAGGATTTGAGTAGCTAAGAAGCTTAAATAAATTTGGTCTTGGAATCGTAGCTGGCGATGGGGACTGAGCAGATGGTGTAATCCCCCTGCCCGGGCGTGCCCATCCCTGCGCTGAGCTGCTCCGTGCTCGGCTCCCCTGGGTCTGTGTTCCCCTCCTTCCCCCTCCAGCTTCCCCAGGGCCCATCTGTGCAGTCACCTCTTCCAGGAGAAAAGACACCTGGAGCTGAAGAGCCTTTGAAGCCTCTGTGAGTGGGACGTCAGCCCAAACTGCTCGGAATTTGGGAGGAATGATGAGGAATAACCCCTCTGCCCTGCCTTGGTGCCCAGCTCAGCCTTGGGTGCTGCCCAGCGCCGCTTGCTCCTGGCTCTCGGTTCTGCAGTGATGGTTGTTTTGCGGGCACCAGATGCCGGTGCCACCATCCCTTTTATCCTCCTGTCTCTCAAAGCTGCTTTCCTGGTGCAGCTCTCAGCCCTCTGTGGTTTTCTTGTGTCCTCAAAAGAGGTGCTGAAGGCTTCTTCCAAAGGCTGGTGTAAAAGGTGCCCCATTATCCAAAACCTGGGGCTGGGTTCCCTCGCTCTGTGTCCTCGTGGGTGTCCCCATGGTCACCGCAGCCGACCCCCAGGTCGAATTGCAGGTGGATTCAAGGAGTAATTTTTTTCATATGGATACCTGCGGTGATCAAATTAATTTAAGGAAATTATTTGCAACTCTACTGGGAGAGGCAGAGAGGGAGCAGGACTGGGGGGTGAAATCCTGCGTGCCTGGGCTCAGGACCACCGGGTGAAATCCTGCCTGCCTGGGCTGACCTGGGCTCAGGACCACGGGGTGAAATCCTGCGTGCCTGGGCTCAGGACCACGGGGTGAAATCCTGCGTGCCTGGGCTCAGGACCACGGGGTGAAATCCTGCGTGCCTGGGCTCAGGACCACGGGGTGAAATCCTGCGTGCCTGGGCTCAGGACCACGGGGTGAAATCCTGCGTGCCTGGGCTCAGGACCACGGGGTGAAATCCTGCGTGCCTGGGCTCAGGACCACGGGGTGAAATCCTGCGTGCCTGGGCTCAGGACCACGGGGTGAAATCCTGCGTGCCTGGGCTCAGGACCACGGGGTGAAATCCTGCGTGCCTGGGCTCAGGACCACGGGGTGAAATCCTGCGTGCCTGGGCTCAGGACCACGGGGTGAAATCCTGCGTGCCTGGGCTCAGGACCACGGGGTGAAATCTTGCGTGCCTGGGCTCAGGGCAGAGAGGGAGCGGGACCGGGGGGTGAGATCCTGCGTGCCTGGGCTCAGGACAGGCATTTCTGACTCCTGCCCCCAAGGAGGGCAGGAAGAGGGGAGACCCTGCTCCTGGACGGGCCAGGCTGCTGCTTGGGAGGGTGTGGGAAAGGAGCAAGGCTGCACCTTGCGTTGGGCTGGCACAGACAGGGTTTGGCTCCTGTCCCCATCGCACAGGACAGAGGCTGTGGTCCAGAGCTGCTGTTGGGAATGTACAGGGTGGGGAAAGCAGGGGCAGGAAGGTGGCAGGGGCTTTCTCCACCATACAGGGAACCGGTCCGGTGCTCTGCCTGCTTTCCTCCTCGTCCCTCCGAGCATCGCTAACACCATCCTGTCATCTGCCTTGTCCCCAGGTGAGCCAGCTGAGCCGGCACTTCAATATACGGCCCTTCTCCCTAAAGAAACCCACGCCGGATTGACTAGGAGCGGAGGAAGAGAAAATCAGCTTGCGGTCTGCAGAAGTACTGTAAATAACTGCTGCAAATACCTGTAAATACTTCAACCATCACCACGGATCTGAACCTATCCTCTGGACAGACATCAGGGCGACCTACGCACGGTATCCGGTGCAGCTGGGGCAGGACTGGCACGGGGCGGCCCCGCTGCTGTTCCACGAACACGAGCTTTGGGTTTTGGGTGGAAGTGGAGGAGGAGGGTAGCCTTCCCGGTCACGATTGGTGTATATTCGACCAGCTGAATGTTCCCAGTGAAACCTCAGACTCTTGCTCGGGTAAAGCCGGTTGGGGATGCAAATGGCTTTAGCTGAGCAAAGCATCTTCATCTGTCACCAAAAACCAACGTAACGGCTGAGTTCTCCAAGGCCAGGGGAACATCCTGGTGGTCGAGGGAGTTCCCGTCTGTCCCTGGTCCTGCTGGCAGCCCTCGCCCTGGGCTGGCGCTTGGGGAGCAGATGGTGACACTTCTCCCGCGTTCTGTCCTGCCTTCCTGCATTCACCTCTTGGGGCAAATACTCGCAGCGGGTTTGTTTTTTTTTTTTTTAAAGAGGGGGAAAAAGAGAACAACACACACAACTTCTAGTAATAGTCTACTTGAGGGTCCCAGAAAATCAGGGCTCAGTTTTCTGTGAGAGTGGGAAGGCAGCTCCTGCCTCGGCTGCTCGAGCTGGGGGTACCTGGGACCACGTCTCGACCACGTTCCTGTCTGTCCGTGTGTGTTCCCCGCGGGGAGCGGGCTCTGGGCTCCCATCCGCAGCAGAAAGCGGCTGACCCCAGCCCGTCCGACTCCCCCCTCTCCTGCCAGTACAAATCTGCTGTTTCAGGTCGGCTCTGCTGGGCGATCGCATGCTGCCCGAGCCTCTCCTTCCGCAGCAGCGCAGCCGGGCTCGCTCTGCTCCTCCTCTTCCCACCAGACCAGTGCCAGGAGCACATCCACCGCTTGGAGAAGCACCTTACTACGTGTCGTGGGGGTCGCGTGTGCACTTTCAGAAAGCTCACAGGCGTGTGCGTGTGTGTGTGTGGTGGGAATCCTTTCCAAATACCATTTTATTTTCAAACCCAGCGTCCTCAGTGGCTGCGTGTCTCATCCAGGGATGTGTTTGTTTACTGTCCATTTGTAAAAAACATGTTTGCATTGTTTGGTTTTTTTTTTATTATTTTTTGTAATTGAGTTCGAGTGGGGTGGTGAAGACTGAATGCTGATTTTCTTTTCTGTTCGTTTTATTTAATGAAGACCTGTGCTTGAATGAAGAGTGTAGCTTAAACCCAGGCTCTGGAAAGGCTGCATCCGGAAGCGAACAAGCACAGCCGACTGTGCAGATGTAACCTGCCACGGGAACAAAGTCGCTTTGACGCCGATTATCGCGCAGCGTGGTTTGTAGGAGCTCGGTCGCAGCGTTTTCCTTCTGCGGGTGACGACTCCTCCTGCTTTAGGAAACCTTCGAATTGTAACTTGCTTATTTAACGCTTTTTTCTTTTGGAAATTGGGATCATCGGCGTGCAGGCTGAAATGCGGAGGCAAGCGTCGCTCGGTGCCGGTACGCCCTGCGAGGAGCGAGCTGGGGGGTTCGTCGGGGCTGGCATCGCGGGGGGCTCGGCTGGACCTCGGGGTCTGTGCCGGCGTGTCTGGGAGAGGATCTAACCCGGGAGAGGGGGCAAATGGTTTCAGAGTTTATTTAATAAAGTAGCTGGCTCCTATATATTTTAGTGACGTTGTATAGAAGAAAAAAAAAACACCACCCAACCCTTAAGTGTACAAATGAATGGGGCTGTGCTTGAATTTTTGATTCCATTTAATAGAACGGTGAAGGGAGAGAAGTCACGCTCGCGCAGGAATTACAGGGACACAACGCTTATCCCCGGGATGCGTTCAGATTGCAAAACAGTGCTGGCAGCACTGACGAAAAGCGGAGGTTGGATGATTTATTTTCTCGTTGTGTGTTTGCAGGACCAGGGAATAACTGAGCTGTTCCCTCGGGCTTTCAGCTGGGCTCTGGGGTCCCAAGCCTGGAGCTTGCCTTGGTCTCTTCCCACCAGCGGTACTGGGCCAGTGCTAACGCTGGGGGAAGGTGTCTGATCGTAAATCTGAGGATGGTGCTTGGTCTCTCTTGTCTCACGCCGCTGTGAGCCAGCACGCTTTCGCAGCATGCTCACCCCCTTGGTGATGCTCCAAACACGTGGCAGCAGGGCTTCCTCTCTAAAACCCTGCTCAAACCTGTTGGGCTGTAGGAGAAAGATCTCTTAAAAACTGGAACCGCTTCCTGTCTGTGCAGGCTTTGTCTTTGGAGAGTCCTGGATTTTTGGTGCCTTAATTTACTGCACCTTGAAACTAGAGAAATCATCTCCTGAAATCGGTGCTGGCTGACCTCGGGGCACACGCGACTGCTCCTGACTCGCGGAGGGGGGGGGGGGGGGGGTGTCTGTTTGGGCTTTAGAAATAAAGGGATTGCTGCTCCTGGCCTCTCGGGGGGAATGGAAACGCTTGATCAAAAGACCAAACCATGGTGGGGTGCGGCATGCTGAGAAATAAACTGTTTGTTAATAATAATAATGGGTTTAAGTCTTAAGAATAAATGTATTCCTCGCTGACGGCATCGGGGGGTGACTGTGTTAGGGGGGTGGTTGCTTGTCTCGCGGGCAGGGATGTGCTCCCCGGGATGGGCCTCGGGATGGGACGGGGTCCTGCCAAGCTGGGTGGGACATCTGCTCCTCCTGCCCGGGGCTTGAGCTGTTCTGTGTTCTCTTCTTCCAGGGATAGTCTTAATGATGTTTTTTTAATTACTGCTGAGTTGATAATAGGACTGGCTTCTGTTTTGCACATTTTATCTCAATACAGAGTATTACCAGGAAAAAAAGCCTTCAGGACCCTCTGGGCTGTCGGTGTCCTACCCTCGGGCTCTGGGCAGGTCCCTGTGCTGCGGGGAGAGGGGACCAGTGCCTGCAGCAGGTTTTTGGGGGACCTTGGGACACGCCACTGTGTCAGCACAGGACTTGGGTAGCCGAGGTGGAGAGGCAGCCCTGCTGCAGCCTTTTCGGGGTTGGGGGTCATCTCCCAGCTCCTGAGCCAGGGAGCAAGCGCAGGAATTCCCGAGGGGAGCGGGGGCCGAGGGGGAAGTGCAGGTTTGGGGACCTCCTGGGGTTCAGGTAAAACTGGCCGTCACGCTAAAAAACCAATGTTTTACGATCACAAACGCTGCGACTGCAGTTCGGGTTGCCCAGAGAAGCTGTGGATGCCCCATCCCTGGAGGGGTTCAAGGCCAGGCTGGATGAGGCTTTGGGCAACCTGGGCTGGTGGGAGGGGTCCCTGCCCATGGCAGGGGGTGGCACTGGGTGGGCTTTAAGGTCCCTTCCCACCCAAACCATCCTGTGGTTCTGTGACAGACCTGTGGGTGTACAAACCGCAGGAGAACCAAGCCCCCCCGCGCTGTGGTTTTGGCTTGTTCCTCCCCCTGGTTCCCTGCTCCCCGCTGCGGTCGGTCGCTGCGAGGGCTCGGCTCCGCTCTCGGAAACATCCGCCACCCGATACAGGCGCCTGTGCCAGCGCTGGGAGCAGAATGTGGTCGGCGTGAGCTTCTAAGGCTCCACAAGCATCTGGTTAAGCTCCTTAAATAGAAGTGGCCTGATGTCACCTCCCGGCTGCGCTGGGTACCCGCGGGTTGTAGTCCCAGAGCTGCTCTGATCTCGGGTCAGTTCCAGCCCGTCCCCTGAACTCTTCTCCTCTGAGAACCTGCTGCGATAGACCTGGGAGGTCTTTAGAGAAATCTGCTTTTCGGAAACTAGCTCAGATTTTTTTTTTTTTTTTTTTCATACATGGTCGGGAAGAGTTGATTTTTGTGCAGACAAGCTGTCGCTGAGCTCTGGTCACCTTAGTTCATGGCAGAACTGTGCGTGGGGTCTCTGCATCCTTCCGAAACCTGCAGGAGCTTCCCAGAAGCGGAGTCTTGTTTCCAGTTCTCCCTTTTTTGGTGAGCGTGCATCGGGAGTCCTTCAGCACGCCAGCGTTCCCGTACCCAGGGGCCGGGGGACACCGTGCCAGGGGCTGGTGATGGAGCTGGGGCAGCTCAAAGCTCCTTTCCTCTTTGCTTTCCTCAAGCAGATCTACAACCCTGGCAGGGGGTTGCAAGCTTGATCCCTCCTGGTTTTGCCCAACTCTCCTGCCTCGCTGCGTCCCAGCGGGGGCCGAGGTGACGAGGAGGCTGCTCTTGGTGGGACGGGGTGATGCTGGGTGCTCCGCTGGCATCTTTGCTTCTGGAAAATGTCACTGTTTGTAGAATCCCAGGACAGTTGGGGTGGGAAGGGACCTCAAAGCCCACCCAGTGTCACCCCCTGCCAGGGGCAGGGACACCTCTCACCAGCCCAGGTTGCTCAGAGCCTCATCCAGGCTCGAACCCCTCCAGGGATGCAGCAGTGTTTCAGGCTGACCCGTGTCCGTCCCTCGAGCTTTCCGCTGCTGGTGGTGGTGGTCCACGTGCTGGTGCCAGCAGGGGTGGGTCCCAGGCTGGTTTTGGCTCTGGCATGCCGGCCGAGTGCCGAATCGCTCTTTTCTCCTGCACCTAACGGCAAACCAAGGCAGCGGCACCAACCCCCAGCAGGTCCCCATGGGGTGAACTGGAGCATTTCAGACTCAAGCCTTATCTCCGAGAGGTTTTGGGAACAGTCCCGGCTCTCTGGGCTCCTCCACTGCTCCCCTGGTGTTCGGGCAGGACAGGGAGCTCCTCTGCAGCCCTTCGGAGCATCGACGGAGGTCTGTGTCCGTGCGGCTGTTCGCTTTTCCTGGCAGGCTGGGGAGGGAGTTGGTGATGCTGCATCGTCCTTCTAGAACCAGTTTGGAGGCGCTAACTGGGCTCTGCACCCGGTTCTGCCGCCGACCCCCTGCGCAGCGGGGCTGGAGAGCCGGTGCTGCCGTCCTGGGGCTGTGAAACAATGCGGGAAAGACGTTTTAGGGGCTCGTGCTGGCCTTGGTGTT